ATTCCTAGTGAATCAGAACTAATGCCATTTTTAAAAGCTTCAGTCAATACGCAATGTAACTTAACATAGTTCCAAGAAGATAAAAATAAATCTTTATCAATATTTAATCAATAAAATGAATATTTTTCCCTTGGTCTTATTATCTTCTCATTTATACTGATTTCTTTCATTTATGTATGAATCATTTTCTTTAATTGCAATAGAACAAGGTTACTTTCTGACAATTCAAGTATCATCTGGATTATTTCATTTCAGATGCAAAATATTAGTGCTTAATAGAATAGGATTTCTGAAGTGAGAACAAAAAGAAAATTGAAAACTATTACAGATAAGACACGAGACAGTAATGATTGAAAAAATTAGAAATTACCTTTATAACTAAGGGTCATATTGCATTTCATCATAAAGACTATAGGATAAACATAACTATTAACTATTAGTATTGTTAATACTAAATACTTTTTTCTAATGATTCCCATAGAAACATAATCTATCTTATTGATATACTTGCCAGAGATCCATTCTTATTTGTAGTTATTTTTCTTTGATGAAAATCTTTCTTTTGAAATTAACTCATTCTGAATTCGTTGGTTTTCTTACATAAATCTATGCATATGTAAATCTAAGTATCAATGATAATATTTACCAAAACAGGATACCTATGAGATGCTTTGAAGCAGTTAGACGGATGAGCGACATGATGGAAAAATTCAAGTGATCGATATTTCATTACCAACGTTAATGATATTTAAGCATATGTTAAATACTACCCATTGACTGGTTAGTGTACTCTGCTCTTAAATAAGATCCAAATTCTTACAAATCAATAAAACGGTTTTAAGCTGTCAGAAACTTATGTTGAATATAAAATTTAAACTTGAAATTATGTGACAATAGACAGATTCAAAATTATAATGACAGTAGCAATTGTCTTTATGATTTGAGAAAAGATCTATAAAAAATTTACTAGATAAATTGCGGAACAAATTTGTAAAAGTAGGTTATTACAGGATATGGAAAAAATCTGAAGTATGAACAACCATTTAGATTAATTAGATGTGTACGGAGGTTTCAATAAATCATATTTGATAAAAATTAGCACTCCATTAGCTTATTAACTCGAATCATTCTGCTTGCAAATGTGATTTTAGCGTCATAAATAAACTTGTTAAAGAATAATGGATTAATTCTTGATGCTAACAGCTTCGAACTTATTGAAATGTGAGAAATTATTCATTTATTTGTTTTTGGAACCTCGCTTGAATAGCTTTATTTTAATTAAAAGTCAGGAACTTTCTATATATCATTTGACCACAGTCTTCAGAACTTACTGAATGAAAATTTTTACATTGCACTGTAAAGCAATTAATATTTTCAAGTAAAACACGTCTTCAAAACACATTGTAATTAATTAATACAGTCTATTATTATTATTTTGTTATTTAAATAAATGATATTAAGCACACATTGTCCATTCAATTCAATAAAGACAGTCATAAAAGTAACTATGGTCTGTAACACAAAGATACCTAAATACATATTACTTATAAGTATCTGAAATGATTAAAATATTTCTATTGAGGTTTTAAAAAATTATTTTTACACTGAATAAATTGGATAAATATTTTTACGGTTAACTAGAAACTTAATCAATAATTTGTAACCTGTTAATTACATAGAAACAATCGTAAACATTACTAAATATTTCAAATGTAACACTTCTAACACATTATGTGTCTAAGACCTAATGTACAAATTAAACTTTAATAATCAAGGATTTATTCATAGGCTAACAAAGTAATCAATACATTATAAGAGATTGCTATTGACTGATTACAGTTATCTACAAACCAGTAATTTTCTACCTTCATGTTGTGAACAGTTAATGAGACGGAAGGTTATAGTAAGTAAGATTGAGCAAACTCAGTTATACTCTAACTTGATTAAAACGTTTTCTTAAATCACTTCTGAAATGTGTCTTAATGTTCTAACTGGATAATAAACGAAAGTAATCAAAATTTTAAAATGTAAATACGGGTATAGGTCTTACTAGTTTTATAAAATCCAGAAATTAGAAACCTTCACCTGATCTGTAGTCCTTCCTCAATCTCATTTTTAATGTGATGGCTATATTAACATTCACTTTTTGTGATAATGTAGGCGTTACAAACTTGATTTTAATCTATCTATATATACGATAAAACTTATTTACAGTCCAAGTGGATGTAAATATTCTGATTTTTACAATTGAAAATCCGAAGATCTATTCATTATAAAGATCCAGTTTTATTTATACGCCGTCAAAATCAACAACTATTAGCTGGAGTACTTTTCATAGCTTATTTCTAAGACCGAGTGTAGTTTGTGAAACGGTTGTAGTTTACAAAAAACATCTCCAATATTTTCCTAAGCATTAAACATTGTTTACATTAATTGATTATTAAATTGTAACTAACGCAGTGATTGTCTAGTTATTAGTGTTAATTGACTTATATTGACCAATCTTAAAATCTATGATGCAGGTTATAATCTGTAAGTATATGTTTTTATACGTATTTTAAAAGATGGTTTTGAATTATCAGTTATTTCCAAATTTTACTTCGGAATTTTTCTCTAATCATGCTTAGGAATTTTCGGGTGCTGTTGATCATTCTTTTTTTACTACAAATAAATACGTTATGTCTACTTTCCAAGCTGTTGGCTGTTGGTTTCTTTTTTGTTATCCTTTACGAATCCATAAGGTAACCAAGTAAAATACCATCTACTAACTCACGAACACCTTATCTGTAAACTAAATATGAATCTACTTTTAGTTAAACCTTACTTTCGGGTCTAAATGAAGAAAAACTTATTTATTAGTCGACTTCATGAGTCAATTAAAGCTAGACAACCATGCAAAACCTAGAAGCACTGGACGACTCTTTCGTCCCTGCATGAGACTCATCAGCAGTGTGCATCCACAATCCCGCTTTTGGAATTCAAACCCAGGACCTTCGGTCTCGCACGCAAACGCCTAACCTTTAGACCGCTGAGTCGGCATTAGACGGTGTTAATGTCTAACTTTAACCAATTCACAAAATTGCGCCACCGTCCACAATTGTCTTCAGTGGGTCACTGCCTCACAACAGATATTGTTGAACTCTACTGGTCACGGATTCTCACTAAAACTCTAGGAAGTACTTCTTAAAAGACCGTCACTAATGAGCATATGATGATTGAAATCAGAGAGGGGTTTTATGGATATTATAGTAATTTAATAATTAAATTTATTAGTCAATCTTGAATGCGCACTGCTGGAGAGTTTTATACTAAGACGAAACGGTCGTCCAGAGCTTCCAGGTTTTCCATGGTGGTCTAGCTTTAATCGACTCATGAATTCAACTATTAAATTACTAAGATTTCCCGAAAATTCCCTTTCCGATAAAAATTTATTTTCAGATTTCAACTATTAAAAATTTATTTGACATGAAACATTGTGCTAAATGAAGAAAACTTTATTTTATGTAAATTAGTATGTCATTGCTTTCTTGAGAGTCAAATACTTACTTTATCATTCATTTAGTAGATCAGATAATGACTTATTGAATAAATATTACTTGTATTTCCCTATTGAAAATACTGTGGTTCATCGGTATTATCATTTTAATGGTGAAATATATTCTTTGTTACTAATACTGAATTCATCTTAACACTAAAGACTGTTGTACTTTTAATTTATATCACAAAAGTTTCCACTTGATTACTTTTTATCACAGATGATTAAGCAGAAATATCAAGAAAAAAGAATGGAATATTTAAACCATTCAAATGAAAATCAATATAAAACATTTATTTCGGTAAGAATAATACGGAGGCAAATTTCTGATTAATGAACTGGTATAAAACATCAATTTCTGTTTTTCAACCAGACGTTTGTGACTGTGAAAATACAATTCTGTACATGTGGAGGAAAATGTTACTTATACACATTTTATGCTTGAAAGCTTTTAATCGACATTAAGCATCACTGTGAAGTCTCTGCAAGTGTGCACATTATATCCTAGATATCTATATGTTTATAATACTTTGAGACTTATTCTGCTATAATAAAAGTAATGATCTATAAATGCAAGCCCAGAGTCTGATAAAATTACACCATTAAAATAATACTCATTAAATCACAGCATCTACAGAAATACTCTGTGCAATTACTTACACAAAATATTTTATTGCTTTTGTACTATCTTATAATGAATGGATCTAAATAAAAAATATTTTAAATGTACCACTTATTTTAACTACGGGTAATTCAGTTAAATACTTTTCTCAAAGTTAACATTCATAGACTCTTTTGACTGAAGCATCCGGATCTTAATTACTTAATTGTAGTATCTAATTGCAATTCAGTTTATGCAAATCAATTTTATAAAAGATGTTAAGGAAATCTATTGAATTATGCACATTTCGAAACACTTCCTTTCTGTGAAATATTCTTTGAAGATGCTTTTTTTTTGGTGTTTAAAAATGATACATTAGTGTAATTCACTAAATCAATCTACATGATATATCGCATGCATTTGTGAAATGAAATACTGTTCAGTATTTAGGTACTAAACAGTAGGTCAAAACGTATTATGTGGCAATTAGTTTTGAAGCCAGGCTTTAGATCGTGAATACACTAGACAAAATTTGCACAATGAAACTAACTAACGTACGTATCCGAGTTAACTGAACAGTAAATCTACAAACTCATTAATAAGCAATAAAAACAATCTAATGATATTCTGCTTTTATTATTACAAGACAATGTAATTTACTTTTCTTAAGAATAGAATATTAAGACAATCAAATTATGAATAAAATAAATTTTTCACAAGAACACTAAATTTCCCACATTTGAGTATTAGAACTGTCTCATATAAGAGATTCTCTAAGTTTACACAGAATTAAGTGACCTATCAATGCAAAGGTTTTACTGCATAATTTAACTAACTTTTTTTATTAGCAATTAAACAAGCGTATTATAAAAATGGTGATATTAAAACACTAATCACCTGAAATATTCTTTCCATCTCATTTAGTTGATGACTTGTAAAAGTGGTTCGATTACGGCGTTTTTTTACTTTATCCCTGGAATTACAATTAACAGTTGAATTAAGTGTATTAATATGATGATTACTGGTGTTATTGAGCATAGGATTATTTGAATTGAATGTATTATTCACTAGGAAATCTGATGTGTCATCATTTAATTTGAATGATTTATTGTTCTTATCTATAGGTAATGTAAATCTTGACATATCATAATTTGCAGATCTGAGCATAGGATTTGTAGTGATACAGTGTGAATAATTTGTACTCTGATTGTTAGTATTGTTACAATTAGTATTTGTGTTATCACAAGTACTAATCGATGTTGTTCTGGTCGCTCTTGTTCCTGTTGTTGGTAGTCTGGCCGATGAATCAAATATAATATTTGAAGGTTGTTTAGATGTATCGGTATAAAATTTTTGTGCAATTGAATTAATTTGAGTTGGTGCACAAATAGCATAAGGTCGTAGTTTACCATTTGTTGATGTTGTCGATAAACTTGGCGGTAAAACTTGATCAGAGAAATTTTCACCTGTATGTGCAAAATACATTTTAAATATTTTTCAAATTATTGGACAGTGTGAATGGAGAGAAATAACTGAATAGGAGAGTAATAAAACAAATATAAGCAAATACAACGCTTATTGAAATTTTCTGGGAAATCTAACTTTTCCTATGATTATGTAATATCCTTTTTGAATGTGTCAATTGCCAAACAGTGACTAGTTAGGTTTTGAGAATCAAACTAATTTTGCAAATCACAATGGAAGTACGATTGCTTAGCTAACTGACAAGACGTTAGAAAAATACTTGTTCAAATTTGAATAACATGCGACTGATTTATCTATAATCATTCTTGGTAGTTCTGAAGGCAAGTAACTTGTGGTAATGAGGAAACTCAAGCTTTCTTAGGAGTACAAACCTGTTTTGTTAGAAAATATTGACACTTTAATATTTTATGAATAAATTTATTTATTAAAATCCGATTAAATAAATAAAGGCAAGTAAACAGCAATTTGCTGAGTTACTTAGAGCTTCATTTAAGTCTCTTCTCGCTAAGATATTAATAAAGCGAATTAGAACGTTTTAACCAAACATGTACTGCACACTAATCATTATGGGTTAAGCTTGTAACTTTAAGAGAACATATTGTTTCATCCTACTGTTCCGTAAACTGTAGTTCTTAGAGTTCAGCTTAATAAAATGAAGCTAAAAATTGTGTGCCTGTTTATAATAAAAAGGAATCTATTTTGATAAAAGCCAATGAAAATCAAGTGCTTTATGTAACCCTTGCGTTGATCCATCAAACAAACTTTAATGTATGTTGTTCAAACTCATCTATACTTCATACATTATAAAAGCCTCCATTTATTGTTTTCCATGTTTGCCTACAGTTGGAGAGTTATTCAATAAACATTTGAGATTTTGATGATAGATTTATTTGTTTATTTTCACCATCTATGTGATATATTAAACTGAATACATGTGAAACCTTCTTGAAATTTTTCCGTCATTAGTAATCAACAACAGATAAACGAGTATTTAAACTGGGTAGTAACTTGATAATCCTTTTGTTGAAACGATCAGTAAATTAGTTCAATAAACAATTCTAAAAAGAATGTTTTTCTAGTGTTTTTAACTGGACGTTAATGAACTAAACAATGAGGCTGCTAACGGACGTATTTTTTCTACTTGTCATTATGAGACCATGTCTCTAATATTTTGAAGGTTCATAATAACCTTTTTACAGTAATTCATGGTCGAATAAGCGAATTAACTAATCTCTGTAGCATTTCTAAGCAAGTCTATTCAGTATCGAAGAGCTCAGCTACTTATTTTAGATGAGTACTATATGAATTCGAGGTTGATAAAAATCCTCATATTTCTTATAATCCAGTGTTCTGGATTTCAAAAAAGTTTTAACTCACTTATTTTTTCAACATATGAAATGGTTTCCTACATTCATAAAATTTATGTACCGCTTATTACTGATCATATTAAAATGTGATAAATCCGTCAGTACTTTCGATCCTTAAATTTAAATGTTCATATAATCCATGTATAATTTAAAACTGAGTGCTAAATTTGTCTTAGTTATCAATGTTCAGTTTTACTGATTATTATCCTCATTAGAAAGATACAAGAAATAAATAAGCCAAATAAACACGTGAAACATGTCATTAACGACAACATTTTTTCTACACAACTATTATTTACAGGAGTAAATTTACCTAGTAGTATAATTTTTTTCAAAAGACATGTATATACAGTATAATGAACACGTATACTTACCTGCTGTGATTCTGTCATCTGAGTTAACATGACATTCTAAATGGATGGCACATTCTTCTCGTCTATAGGAAGAGTCAAGTATCGGATAAAAGGATTCAGACATGTTGTTTGTTACTAAGACTAATAATGTTATGTAATTTTCACCACTGTCGATATTACTGAATAATTTTAATTTTCTTGATTTATCTCTTTATATATAACAAATCTGTATATGGCTGTTTACTGGTTAAAATTTCTTTACTAAAGAATGATAAACTGTTTGTTAAGACATCAAACTGCTCCGATTTCGATAGTGGACAGTAGTAATGTATATGTGTTTATGAAAATGTGCATTATTTGTGAATTTACAGTTTATGGGAAGTTTTTCCTTCAACAACTGTGTATACTATACATTTTTATATAGGTGTATACACATAATCGTATGCATATTAAAAACATCCAGATAGATATGCTATAGGCACAAAGTGTACACATGCTGTGTTTGTAAAACACGTGCACATACTTTTGCACACAAACATTATGAATGTGTAGGGAAAAAATAGATTTATATGAATGGTGGTTTCGGAAAAAATACAGCATTGAAAGATTGAATACAATTCACCAAAAAACATACTGATCTCACAAAGTAGGAAAGGGGTAAGACGAACTGAATATATTTTCTCATGAATTATAATTTTCCTTTAATTCCTCAAGCATTCTGTTGACTTCAAACCATTCGAAAATTCGGTAATTAAAAGGAAATTTGAAAAAAAAACACGTTTCGTGAAAATGTATCATTGGTTTGATTTAAATATATGGACAAAATTTGTTGTATTACAAGGTTGTTTTATTAGTAATAAATAAGGTTCCAGTGTAATTCACTAATTATATTCTGAATCAAGTAATTATCAGTGAATTATTGTCTTTATTCTTAAAATTGAAAAAGTCATTAGCTTACGAAGCTCAAGTAAACAAAAGTGAACTACTTAGATTCGAATATTACTTATCACAATCAAAACAACCAATGTAGGAATGTAGTCCAGATCTGAATGTAATTATTTGTGCTAAAATACTTTATACTAATGTTGACCAACTATTTTATTAGGATGTCTTTTTATTTTACTATGACCTATATAAATATACCATGTGGTAGTTTAAAGCTATTTTCATGAAAGATTTATTCAGTGATGAGAAAAGAATTGAATTTAGTAATGTAACTATATTTTTGTAGTTTTAAAATCCCAATTAGAAACCTATTGGCAACCAAATAAAAGCAAATAGCTCTTTTAAACCAATTTGATTTTATTAAGAAATACTTTCTGAAGACTACGCAGAGAATCGAACTTAAAGTCTTTAAATCTCACAGAGAATCATGATCCCAATGGCTCAAATCTAAAAATCTAATCATTATGTGACAGCATATTTTTCAGAATTATAAATTATGAAGTACGATCCATCCAAAGATTACTGAAGTAAATTACCATTTATAATGGACGAGGGTGAATTTTTATATAAGGATTGTTTCGATAGATCTTTAAATGATTATCTGGAACAAATTTATACATCAGAAATAATTTAATTCTTTCATATATGTTATTAAATGTCACAGCATACTTGAAGAATCATAGGAGAGAACAATTTTTCAACCCAAATTTAGTTTATCATTATCATGGTTTCAACTGTTGTCAAAGTTAAAATCACTTATTTAGTGTTGTATAATTATTCCATTCATCTGTTTATATGTATTCCATAAATCTGTACATATGTTGAGTTGTGGTGCTTCAATGTATAATGTTACTTTTTTTAATAATGATGATTATTATCTCACAATTAGGCATTGACAACCCAATCGGTCTCAAAGTTTTACTTGAATTATGGATATCTAGGGCTCGAGCCCCATTTGAGACATGAATAGTTCATGCACATAGGTGATCTGAGGTGTTTCCTTTTAACACCCAAGCTCTTATTGCCAATGTGAACGGATGTGTTCGTATGCACATACATGCGTATACATGACATTTCAGCCATAAAACCTCTTTCAGAACCGTCGAGACAACTTCAAAATGATAAATCGTTAAAGGATACGTTAACCATTTAAAAAAAACCTTCTTTTGTCATATTTTATTACAAAAAGTAACCTTATCATCCAGTTTACTTAGAAATTAAATAATCATAATTGTTATTTTCTGTTTATTCATTACACAGTAATCAAACATTCCGGCGCAGCTAATATTAAGTCAAGTAATTACGTACAGCTGATATTGAGAATAAGTTTACTACAAATAATCTGCTAAACCTTATATAAAATAATAATTTAGTTTGACAACTTACAGGTCAAGAAATAAAAATATTGCAGACTAATGTGAAGACAATGGTGGATGTGTCGCTCAATTTCGTCGATTAGTTGAAGTTAGACATTAACACGGTTGGATGCCGGCTCAGTGGTCTAGAGGTTAAACGCTCGCGCGCGAGACTGAAAGGTCGTGAATGCACACTGCTGAGGACTCCCGCAGTAGGACGAAAAAGCTGTCCAGTGCCTCCAGGTTTTCCATGGTGGTCTAGCTTCAATTGACTCATGATCTCAACTATTAAAATAATGTGTAAAAGTGAACATTACGAAGTATATAGTTGTATAGTTGTGAACCAAGAAACAATGAGCATTATCTTTTTTCTACTTGTAACCTCTCCGGAGTGCACACAATAACTCAACGCTAGGCTTCCAGAACTTGCAGCTTTTAGATTTTAGTATGTTAGTCCATGACGAAAATCCCTTTTATATAACATTAACTGCGATGTTTACTGTAATGATACATGTTTATCTCATAACAGGATTTAAACACTGATAGACAATCATAATTCATGAAATAGATTTTGCTATAATTCAAGCTTACTGCTATTCGCATACTACCCGAGCAATCACTATCTTTGATGTCATAAAAATTGTTTTTGTCAAGTTATTTACACAAAAATTGTTATCTAATTTACATCTCATTTTTCATTATCTTAATGTTATATTTCTCTGTTTTTTGACTTTTCACAATCTATAAAAATATATATGGAACAAATTAATATTAGGCATTGTAATATGAAACATGTACATCAATTGTGTCATTACTGAATGAGCAGAAGTAGAGTTGTATATTGTAAATATTTTTATGATAAACAATGTCGTGCTTTTTATTAAGGTTAGTTAAAACGACAACTGAAGCAGAATTACATAAATTCATTATATCTCGTGGTTTCTCATCAGCTGCTTACAACCATCTATGTATTAAAATGT